CAGAAAAGACCGGAGAAAAAAGGCAAAATATGATGAAATAAAATTTTTTACATTTGAAAACCAATAATAAATAAGGAAAATAAGGTTTAGATTTGAAAAAAAAATCGTTTTACAGGGGTTTATTGCTTTAGAGAATATCGCAATATTGAGGGGAGGATAACATTAATTCATATGCAAGTTTGTCGGGATCACAAAACATTATCGTAATAGAGGGAATTATTGTTGCATCGGATATCGTAGTAGCGAGAGTTCTCTGCATCAAAGTTATTAATATTGTAATATAATATAAAATTGAAAAGAATAATTGAAAAATGTTGATATTTGTGCAATAAATTCATTTACCCGTCCATCACTAGCCAGTAAAATGGAGTCACTCTTAATATCCCTGTGAATAACACCTTGAGAATGAAGAAAAGCAAGAGCCTTGAGACACTGCTTGCAAACAGTTGCAATCTGCTCCTCGTCCATTCTGGAGTGGGTCACTATGTCGGTCAGAGCTCCACCCTCCAGAAATTCCATGACTACCCATAATTCATCTCCCACTAAGAAGCTGTCAAACATTTCAACAATATTTGGATGGTGATAATCACGCATGATGACAACCTGCAAAAATGAAAGACATCATACTATAAGACAGGGTTTCAACAAAAAAATAAGCACCTTTTAAGCACTCAAAAATTATTATTAATTACTTTCCAAAACAAAATCATAATTAGAATCTTTGTAGTAATAAAAAAAATAAAAAAAATTTTATCGTTTAAGGTTCTTAATTTATAAACATAAAATCACTAAAATTCAAAAACATTTTCAAAAACTCTACATAATCATGATAAAATAACTAGTTTCTGATAAATATTTTTAAAAGAAATAAAATTAAGCACTTTTTACAAACACCGAATAAAAAAAAGCACCTTTAAGAGCTTTTAAAGAATTTAAAATCAAAAATAAGCACATTTAAGCACTTAAAACTCAAAGCATCTCAAAAGTAACAAATCTAAAAAAGTTTTTGTTGGTCTAATCTCGCAAATGCGAATGATTTTACGTCTCGTTACTAATAATCGTATATATACTTACAACCTGAAATTAAAGTGGTTCTTGTTTGTTCTTTCTTTATTTGTTTATTGAATGATGCTGTGATTATGTGAGATAGTTGTAAGCAAGCAATATTTTTTTTCGTGCTTTTTATTTATAATACTTGATTTGTTCATACCAAGTTCTGTTTTAAATTAAATCTTCACTTACAGTTTTAATAAGCCCACATTTGACTCTAGAATTATCTTCACAATTATGTCACTTTGAACTAAAAGCACTGTGCAATGGTATAAGAGACACATGCGGCTATAGATATCACAAAAGGCACTAATAATAATCAAATAAACGATTCAGAATTGATTTGCAACGAAATGTCGAGTTGAAAATAAACATTTTATTTTTAAAATGAGTTATTTTGAGACCAAAATTTTGAAGGATATTTTTGACATTCCAATAACTCAAACTAATGAAATAATTTCTTTTTTTTACTCTTTGGGTATTTAAATTAAGTTTTTACGTCATTTTCCAGATTGATAAGTTCATGTTCTATGGCCACAATGTTATTGGAAATAACAAACATAGCAGTATTTCACAAATTATAGCATTAAAAATTTGTAGGGAAAAAAAGTAAAATTTTCCTGAATTTGCGAAAATTGCATAAATACTCCAGAGAGCCTGTTGCAGTTCAGGTCTTATAAGAGATAAATGGTTTTCTAATGGTTAAATTTATTTTTGAGTAATACATATAACTGTCAACATTAGAAAAATAAAATAATGGAGATTTCGCTATCAACATTTTTTGGGCTACAAGTAAAGTCTTGATACATCATGAATAATCATGTAGGTCAAAAAGAGGAATTCAAAATTGTAAAAAATATGAAATAAAAGTAAAAAATATGTATATAAATCTTAATCTAAAGAAGATTTTTATAATTATGATTGTTTATTATAATGATTATTTATAATTACTCAAACTATAAACACTCAACATACTGCAGTACCGTCAATAACACCATCAGTTCAGGAGTAAGAGAAGTATTTTTGCCATTAGCGGATATTTTATCGCCATATTTTATATTATTTTTTTTAATATCTTCAAATGCAAAGAAATTTGAGAATATAGTCGTAAAACACAGGAGTCTTCGTTAAAAAACAGGAGACTTGGCAGGTATGAATACATTAAAACAGAAAAAGTTAATTAAAATTATCAAATATTCTATATTGATTTTTAAAAAAAATATACACAATTACTTCAAGTTGCAGTTTAAATAAAATTAGATTATATAAACATAATGTAAGGTATGAAAACACAAGCCTCATTAAATAGTAATTCTCTTCTTTGCTGCTTGTGGAGGTCCATCTTTTTCACGGCAACCTGACGCCCTGTAGATATTTCAGATGCAATGCATACAATGCCAGTGGAGCCTTCACCAATTTTGATGAAGTTTTCCAAGTTGTCTCTAGGATCTCCAGGACTAACAACCATTTGCAATGCAGCTCTGAACTATAACGAAAGAAGAAAAAAAATTGTCATCCTTTGTCAATTACTTTTAAACATTATTGTGGTTTAGAAATTGATGTTATGTTTCTATTTTCTTCCTACTTTATTACCCTTTTAAAAATGTCTACAGGTTTCCTGACTAATTTCATTCATTAAATCAGAATTTTAAAATGTCTCAACATTCCAAAAAAAAAAGTTCAGTATTCTACAATTTTTCATCAAAGGAAATCCCATATGTAATTCTTGTACACAAAGTGAAGTATTTAAAATGATGTATGTATACAAACTAAACATCTGTTTGGATACCACACTGAATAATTTAAACCACATTGCAACGAAATATTTATACGGTGAAAGACCCTCTCAGGGTTCCTACTCAATTTCAGAAAAAAAATTCTGTCTTTTCCAGGTATATCATGTAAAATTCAATTAAAATCCATACCACATTTTATCAATACCGTGCAGTTTTTTTAACAGAAAAACGTTATTTATTTTTTTATTTGTTTTATCAAATAATAGATTTTGTGAGCAAAAACATGTACTAGAATGAGAATGGAAACATGGAAAAGTTTCACTAAAAAGTGAAATTTCATAAAATAATTGTAATAGATGCTAGAATTATTTAATCTCAAATCTTTAGAAAGATTTGAGTTAAATAATTCTAACATCTATTTCAACTCAAAATACGACCAATTTTTGGGAAGCACATAATTATTTCCATAGACTTTGTGTTGAAGAAAACCTTTCGGAGAGACCATTAAAACCTCTCCCAGCAACTGGAAGACTTCTGTACCAAATGCGGTAAAGGTCAATTAAGGACACACCAAAAAATGTCAAAATAAATAATATTAACAAAACAAATAAGTAGATTAAAATGTATACAAAATATTTGTGTGAAACTCTTATTTAAGAGAGCTCTTTTTGACCATCTCTGAAAGAGATCTACAACCTCGTGTTGCAGTCAGAGTGAACTAAAGACGACGCTATCAATGATTTATTTTTAGAGTTGAAAATTACATTAGAAGAAAATGAGCATCTTAAACAAACAAAACTCTTCTAATTTTTTAAAACTAATTTTTATGATATAAAATCAAATGCAAACCTAATCCATAATTGGTCAATTTGTTTTTACACATTATATCAATAGGGATCATTTTTATCGATGCTAAATTTTATTCGTCGATCTGGCTTTCACAACGCCAAGTAGCATTTCCACACCAAAAAAAAAAAAAAAAAAAAATGACACTGCCTAAAATTAAAATAGTTTAGAAAAATTAATTAACTTCAATAACATTTTGAATTCAGGGGAAGTAACCCCTACAAACGACCCACCTCCATTAACGACCATTTTATTGTAGAACAAAGAGTGGTCGCCCCCGAGAGGTTTCACTGTAACACTTGCTGCAGATAATAGATTTATTTACTTTAACTATCATTGACTACTCATTATTAAGGTTACTTCATAGATCAGTCGTTTACAAGCTTTGTTGTAATATTCAGGGGTGGATATTGTAAAAAATAAGTCACTAGTCCAAAGGACCAGTCACTAGAAGATATTACTATAGTCTGTTCAACGAGAACTGATAGTGGAAGTAAACATTAGGGTTGCTGTTTGATCGCCAACGTTTGCCACTTAAACGGTTTCTTCCCCGAATGGGCGATTTCGTTTGAATCGACAGAGCTTTTGCTTTTACGGAAAAACGAAAACGATATTCAGTTTTTGATACCTTAAAATTAGGTAGGAAAGTGCAAAATAAAAATATTTACATGAAAATACATTTCTAATTGTTTCAGTAAGTACATAATTTTATTTTGAGAAAACTTTTAATGCATTTTTTTTAAAGTTAAAATTAAATTAGTTTTAATATATTTTGCATAAATATCTATGCAAAACATAACTTTTATAATGCCATCGTAAAAGTCGTATAGAATTCAAAGAATATGTTAAAAAAATACTCTTTATTTTCATAATAAATTTTTTTTTTAAAATTTATTAAAAGTTAACTAATATTTAAAATAGTTTTATGTTTCATCGATTGATTTAAAAATATATTTGAAGGAACTTCATTTATTTCTATTTTTAAACTGTTATCTTTATTTTTCTAAGGGAAGTATAACTAAAATAATTACACTAAAAGAAACTTAGAACTTTTTTATGTCTCACAAAATCTTTAGTTAAGAAAAATAATCACTTAACCTATAAAAAAAAAAGCAGTTTGTAAACCTCGAATTCAATAGGTTTTTGAAAATGGAATGAAGTAATCAAAATTATTTAATTTTAAGTAGCAATTGAATTTTTGTAATTAATTAGCAACTGTACCGAAAGCAAAAATAGTTATATTAAACTATGCAGAAAGAACAAAATTTTAAGAATTACTGTATTAACGATGGATTAATCATAATTAATCATGGATAATAACGAATAATTATATCATTAAAAAGTAAAACTGAAACTAGGTAGTTTTTTGATGTTTGAAGCCTAATTTTTTTAACAGGAAATAAAATGTCCTTCTTTTAAAGTTTGGTAAATCAGAATCATCGTTCACAGCTTTGAGAACTTTGCTTATTGCCGGAATTCCGTTACGGCGGAAAAAATCATGAACTTTTCTTCTTACAGCATTTTTGTTGAAATCGTCAATGTCATCCAAAAAAAGTTTTAAGTGATTTAGTCCTCTTCAGTGAATGTAATATACCATCCCTTTATATTCTTTAATAATTCTGAAAACAGAAGCTGTGCTAACTCCCGATACAGAAGCCGCATGGTCAGCCACATCAATGATTGGAACATCTGGTTTTGAATGCATTTCTGTTTTATAAATGTTCAATATTATTTCCTTATCAGCTTCACTTATGCAAGATTTCTTCCGCCGTTTTTTTAGGAGGACTTAAAACCATCACTTTATTTTCCATATTGCTCATGAAACACCTGCAAAAAGACACCACGGCGAAGCAAACAACCCTTTAAGACAGTGTTTCCCAAAGTGTGGTACGCGTACCCCCATGGGTAAGGTAGCAGTTTAGCGGGGATACGCGTTCTTATGCAAAATATCTTGCAACAAACAAAAATTTCAAAAAAGTTTATTTAAAAACAAAGCTAGCCATGAAATTGTAAGATTACGTATTTTTCTATTGGATATTTTTTGCAGAGTTAACAGTTAAAAATTAGTAGTGTCAACAGCCAGTTGTATTTTTAACTTTTGTGCAATTTGTTTATAGTAAAAAATAAATTCATTTTTTTATTAATGGTACACAGCGTTACGAAATATTTAGAAAGGGTACACAAAAGACATAAGTTTGGGAAGAAATTTGTAAGAATAACATAAATAAGAAAGAAAATAAATAGAATAAAAGTTTTTAAGAAATAAAAGTATTTGCTCTAAGAAATAAAAATTTTTGCTTGACTGGTAGGCACTATTTGGCATAATTCCGGCGCCAAGCAGACAACGGTATTGCGTCAAATAGCATTCCGCTTTGTTTACTTTCACTATCAGTTCTCGTTGAACAAACTATAGTTAACTCATTTTCGGCCAAAGGTGCGCAAATGCACCGTTTCAATAAATATATTTTTATTAACACTGTGATGAATATTTTTCACTAATTTTATTTTTCTGCTATTGTCAAGAGTTCTGAAGAGATCCATAAATTATTAGTAATTTAATTGGAATAAGCACTTTCTGTTGAGAAATTTGTAAGCTATTCAAGTTTTGTTTTAAAACTTAAAGCCGTTATTGACAAATAAAATTTTTGGAAAATGTATAATTATTCATTTTGAGATTTGTCATACATTTTTAAGATGGATTAAAGTTGCATATCAGTAAATAAAAAAAAATTTTAAATCATAAAAAAACAAGCGTTCAACTAAATAGTTTGTCCATTAATTTAGTGAAGGATGCCTATATGTACCACTTTATTTCTTAAATAAAAAATAATATTTCCTACATGAAGTTTTTTGAGTCTTAATAAATTGTAATGCAAGCATATTTAAATTAAAATAACACCACATTTTATTACATTTCCATGCTTGGCCTAAAATGGGTTAACACAAATTTTTACTGGTTTGTTTACAGGTCTCTTATTTTTTCTCTAAAAAAAAAGTCCCCTGATGAAGGAATGTTCTGCAAACACACAATGATATTTTATTTTTATTTATTTTTATTATTAAGTAATTTTATGTTGTTACTAATTTACTAAAATACAAATTTGGTTATAGCTGCACTGTGCGCTTTTCCAATTTGAATTTATGAAGTAAAATGTTCAATGCTGTTCTGCTATGTAATAAAGTAGTAAAATGTAAGTAAAATGTTCACTGTTGTTCTAAAATGTTCTGCATGTACTGTCCATTTTTCAATATTTATTAGAAATTAGAATTTGTGTTTGAATAAAGAGAGTTTGTAATGTTCACAAATATGGTGAAATATGTTTTGTGACAAAAATGCAGAAAAAAATATGTAAGAGTAAAATCAAACATCCAACACTGCACACCATCTCTCACATAAATTGCTGGTCTGGG